TAAGAGAATCAACTTTTCATATACTGTTAAATTTAAATGAATTTGGTGCCCTGTTGGCCAAAAACAAAGATAATGACAGTTGATAAATTTAACGCCAAGATGTAGAGAAATGCTGTAAGCCTTGCTAAATGGGGGAAAGAAAGCTGTATTTTTTTGAGGCTGAGGATTTTTTAGTTAACAGTTTGATCGAGGATTTTTGCTTGATATTTTTTGTTTCTTCATTTTCTTGAGGCAGCGGAAGGGTGGGGGGGGAGGAGAGAGGAAGTTAAAAATCGACGGTTTGCACTGCCCCTCGATTTTTGTAATAAGGAAACCGATCAGTGTAGAGCCCAGACGGCCGATGTAGAAATATTGTCTCATAAATTACAGCATGAATGTTCCAGCTAACAAAAGAGATGCATAAGTAATTCTGCAAAGCAATAGCTAAGCAAACTGACTTATCCATAACTAGCTAACACGGAGCTGACAAGGTCTGATAATACGGATCTGGCACGCTACCCAACAACAGAAGATATGTTCATATGTAATGTATCTCAAGCAGATACAGCTCCATGATCTTGCGCAGCTGTGCTTCTCACTCTCTATCGCTTTTTTTCCCATTTTCTGCAACCACCTGCATGTTTTTGAGCAAATTCTGGGCTTGGAAGGGGGAAAAAGTGCGTTTAACTAAATAATCCTTTTCAATTCATTTATTCGTTTCGATGATAAATTGGTACGGGCATATAACGAAAAGTCATAACAGCCCCTCAGCTTGTTTCGAAGCAACTTCCAGCGGACAGTCTTGCTAGCAAACGGTTTTTGTTGGTATTTGCTATCTGGACTAATTATGAGTGTTTTTGCCTTTCAGAAGATGAACAGTAGGGAAAATCAAGAACTTGACTTTTCAGCCCTACCTTTCAACTTAATTTTAAAGTTCATTCACAGAATCAGTTGTCGTTTTTGACTAACACTAGCTCTGTGCACTTAACTTTTAATGGTATGACTACACGTCTAACTGTTCCAAATTGGGTAGATGAGTTGCGCTGCTCAGACCCAGTGCAGCAGCATTGATTATGAACTGCACTTCTGCACTAATTATGTAAACAGGAAAGATATTATGGGTTTTCGATTTCGAGCAGCTTATAATAATTAGTGGCGAGTAAAACTATTGCATAAAAATGCCCAACTACACCTTAGGCAGTCTGCAAGCAAGTTAATGTAAAGATATTAGAATGAAATGCAGTCACAATATCTTCTTCCATGAAAATGTAATGTGATAAAAAAAGTTTGGAACTGTATCTTTTTAGCAAACATAGGACAGATTGCTGTTTTCATTTGGTTTAACATTTTAGTGCCATTTATTATGTCATTTTGCTTAGAAATTATTGAAAAGCGGCTTTTGACTAAAAGAATACTTTTCAACTTTTTTACGCACAAGTAAGCCTCGCTCTGAAAGGTTTCTGGCTGTGTCATTACATACAGGAGCAAAGCAATGAAAAAAATTTTGTAATAGAAGGTACGGTAGTAAATGAACAGGTGGATGCGTTGAAACGGAAATGATGTTCTGGATGTTTCCCGGCGCATGTAATGATTTGCACTACGAACTCATTTTACACCTCTGCTACTGTGACCTCGGTATAACCCATATTTTTCTTCGGTAAACAACCTTTTTTCATTTTCTTGAAACACATTTTTTTTTTTTGATAATTTGCAGATTTTATGGCGACGCGATTGCTGGAAGAAGAGAAAGGCACAAGCAAATTTTACGACTTTTGAACAAGTAACTTTGAGCGTGTTAACAAGCTTGCATTTTCGCACAGTCAACATCCCAGTTATTTAGCAGTTCTGAAACTTCAAAAGCAGAAATTTCGCATCCGTTGCTTATCAGTTGGACGCAGGGCAGAAGGGTACACACCCAAAATTCGCTTTCGGCGCTCGTCTTATCCTCACTGAATTCATAACCGGAATACTCTCGTAACTAACAGTCAAAAAAAGCCATCAGAAGAGTTTCCATTCGAACAAACAGGAGTACTCTGACTGAGCTATGTTCAAACTCGACGTAATAACTCTGCTCCCTTAGCTAATCAGAGCACAAACAAAATGTTGGAAGCTTGACTTGTGATACATTTCAAAGCGAAAGCCCGAAATAGCTCTTCTTTCGCTTTTTTATGCGTTTTTGCTGTGCAGCGCTATAGCAGCGCTATAGCGCTGCTACAGCCAGCAA